GATAAATCACGTGTACCAATAACAATGCGAGTTATTTTTAGTCGGAAATTTTTTTGGGGGGGTCGCTGTGTTACTTACGGATTGCGTCACATCAGATAGGAGATCTGCTAGAAAACTCCGATTGGCAAAAAATTCACGTGATTTTGGCAGGGGTGCCCCGGCTGAAATCTGCCAAGAATCCATGATCACGTCTTTCGTGATACAGATAATAAGTTTTTAACCATTTCGTTTTGCAATTGCTTATCTTCCAATTTCGCAATTCTGGCCTTAAGCTCAGCATTCCTGGCTTCAATCTCAGTAAATTTCTTTTTAAGTTCGGCATTTTCGACCTCAAGCCTGGCAAAGCATATTTTCAATGAATCGGTCTCATCTATTTCGGATTGCATGCTAGCGTAATGTAGTATTAGTGTGTTAATATTCAAAAGTAAAAAATCACATTTTCCGAGACCGCGCGGTCCCGCAAATTTGCCAAGAAATTTTTATTATCCGGTGCATATCCCACACAAAAATACATATGAATATGTAAAATAATAATCGGCCACCAGGGCACTTTATTGAAACAGTAATACAAATAACAATTAGATTATTTTTTTTTCGAATTTTATAGACTTTCTTTTTTTCATTTTTGGTGGTGATGATGATCTTGGTGGAGAAGATACTGTGGAGCTATTTTCTGTATTACTACTTGAACTAGTTGGAAGCGCATAATACAGAAGAGATATATTGACGTGCAAGATATTCTATAATTATAAGTATGTGTTAATTTTAAGCAAGTGAAATATAAGAATTGCATTTCACATACCCGTATTATCAATAAAGTTTCAACAAATTTAAACACTGTATTCCTATCTGTTGGTTGTATCGGAATTTCAACTGTACGCAAATTATAGAAACGATGTATCTCATCCATACCTCGAATGAGGATATTTAGATGCATCTCAGTTCCGGCGATTTGGATCCCAATAATACCAAAATCATCTTTGTCGGGCTTGCATCCTTTGTGAGCCCAATACATTCCATCGTTCATCTCTCTCCAAGTTTTTACCCTATCATTTTCCTTTTTTTGTTCGTCACAAATGATACGGGAACTTTCACCATAAATTAATTCATATGACCTATTATTACAACTAGCGATGAACATAACATCTGGTCGTTTTCCAACTCCTCTTCGATCTTTGCTGGCAATACTTTGACGCTCGGCTGTGGAAATATAACCAGATTTTCCAATTGGAAGATCTTTTAATGATGCTCGAATCATCGGAACTATTACATCGGTCATATATGTCCCTTCACTTTGTGACTTAACCAGCTTTGGACCGAAGGCGGGATTTTTCCAAATATCTCTCCTATAAAGAATGATGTTAGACGTAATTTCAAACAGAAATTTTAAGAAATGACAAATATAATTGTTAAGACTCTTATTACTGAAATACTCACAAGATATCGAGTATACCTAACGTAACTTTTGCTAGTTTTTCGTTAGATTCTTTCCAACTTTTATCATGTAAAAGTCTATTATTTGGGACATCTGTAATACTGTCTATGAAATTCAAAACGAAGGAATCACAATTATTTTTGACAAGGTCTGGAGCAGTTACTTTCATACGCTCCGCCGGATCCTATGGGATCACAATATTAATATGATACTCTTTGCCGAAAGTGGACTATGGCAATACAAAACACTATTTACTAAATTACTCACCATAAAAAAGTTATATGCATCTACTTCCAAAGTTCTCACCATTTCCGAATCTGCACAAATCACTTGACTAGCAAGTGGAACGCGCCATGATAAGTCTGAAGCACTTTTCTTCTTTAAATATTTACGGAAGTGGTGGGCGTACGGAGCCTTACTATTTTTAAGATTGGTTTTCAACACACGCAAGTTCGTCTCGATTTCGTTCTTAGTGAGCGGTTCTTCCTGTTTTGATTCTTTAATACTCCGAAGACTACTTACACCTTCGTATGCATCATCAAACTAGCGCAGAAGCCTTATATTAGTACTAATGTAGTTAATCTTTTGATATTAGAATCATGTGCGCACATCCATCAACATATTCCAAGTAAATCATCAACTATATGTGGCCTGCATACAATTGACAATGTACATGAATGCTATATTTTTTTCTTCATAAACCATAACTAAGATCCACCCCCGTGTGTCTAAGGAATTAATGTGTCCGATTAAACCTGTGCCCACATGGCTATGGGTACTCACTTAATCTGGTTATAAAAATATCATTCTGCGCAATCATCATTTTGGATTATAAATTTGATAAATAATAGTAATATTCACTAACCTTCAAGGGAATATCAACGAGTTTCAGATATTTTTCCGAAGTCTGATCGTAATTCTTTTTCACTACTATAATTGCCTGATGAATTATTTCTCTTAACTTATCTTTTGAATACCACGTATCATCATCTATTAGTTGAAAAATAACAGAAAACGCGGTAATATGATCTGAGGGTGAATCAAGTAAAAAATTATAAATATTTTCATATAATGTGGAAGAAGACATAATGACAAAAAATATAGTGTTAGAATTTCGCTGAAAAAATAATAAGCGACAAATAATTTGAATTCAATACACCTGCCTTTTTAAATCTCTGATGACTTCTCCATTCATGTCCTCTCTAACTCGCAATTCATGTTGGGGAAAGAGATAGGAGAAATATGCGAGGCACTTTACGCCAAAATTTTGTGTTAGAGAATAAGGGCATGTGGAATGTGCATTGAAGATCTCAACATTTACAAAGGCGTTGGGGAATATGCATATACGAACTTTTTTTATTTCACTTGCTCGACCGCTCAGTGATAAAGGCCTAGTAACATTATATAAATATACTCGCGCTTGTCGCTGTCGAAATCTAGTAGAAATAGCCTCTAGTACCGGAGGAAATAAACTCATAAATAAATGCGATAGGGAAAAAATTCGAAATATTTTGGGGATCGATTTCTTATGTGTGAAAATTAATTTGTCGCACAAGCAGTCACACAGAGTTACAGATGATTTGCGGTGTATCACTCATTGAGTATTTTTATTATATTAATGGGGAACTAATAAAATTTAACATGAAAACCTATCGTTTTATTGAACTATATGGGCTCACTTTATATGGTGCTAGAACTTGGGCAGAAGAGAAACGAGAACAATTAGCGTACCGATTAAATTGGTTAAGCGTTGAACTTGTTAAAAAATCATTACAACAAGAAGGTTATGTACTTCTTTCTGGTATATTTGAATGGCCTATCATGATAAAATGGACACAGAATCCCAAATATTATCTTGATACTGAAGAAAATCGCATTTTTAGGTATTTTGTTAGAAAGGACATGTTGGGACCACGTGACATAGAATCCATAAAAACCCATAGTCGGCTAACTAGTGACTGGTGGTATAAACCTAAAGTATGGTTAGAAGATTCTCAAAACAAAAAATGGGCATATAGACGGTGCTAATCAATGATGGGAAAAGATCGGCCAGACAACCAGTCAAACGACTATAGCTTGCAAGGCTTTGAGTGTTCGAGTCTGTATCACTTGTGAGATCCCGAATAATACTGCATCTTAATAAAATACAGCTGTATGCATGCGTGATACAATAAACACGTTTTGCGATCCTCGTTAAAGGGTATATGATATAATAGATCGTTTCATGATAAAATAGTTATATATTAGAAGATCTAACCTAGAATAGGCAGATCATGCATAGCATATTTTTATCCCGCATAAATTTATGCAGGTGATACATTTCACAATTATACTAGGCGATCATGTATGCAGATTATATAGCACAAAAAAATAAAGTATAAGTTATACATTGCGCCTTTAGCTAAATGATATTAATCTTCAATAGTCTATAATTAATATATTTCTCAGTCAGTTAAACCAGTTAAACGAATGTGATTTTTGTACCATCTCTCAATCTTAATGCGGGCTGATTAAGATGGTCTATAGATGGTAATAAGTTATTTTGTTTAGCATACCGAGATGAGATAAATATTTCACTTGTGATCCCTTGCTCTGAGCGCCTTTGGCTAGGACTTGATGATTGATAAGAAGTTGGTAAAATCGTTTCTTGTCTAGTAGGTGAAATATAAGCTGGCTCGAAATTTGGAGCATTTGGCATAGTATCTTTTGCTTTAGATTGTGTATAATTTTCATAGCTAGCCGTATTTCCATCAATATCATATGATACCGATGCTAACTTATCCTTTTCTGAGTATGGGGTAGATTGGGAGAAAAGTTCTAGACGAAGACGATTAATTTTAGCCTCTTCCTCTAATATATATTGCTTATATTGCCAGATCTGAAATTCCCTTCTATCAATAGATTGGAGAATTTCATTTCTTCTCGCATGTTCATTTGAAATACTATTTCCAGAAATGCATCTTTTCAAGTGGTTATCTCGATAGGTTATGGAATGACCACCACGACCATTTTCAGATATGAAAACTAAGGAGTCACATACACTACAATATATGTAATTTGATGGAAGACCATGGACTCTATCACTTCTTTCAATTAAATTTCCATACATCGTAATATATCCATTCTTAGAAAGAATTCTATTCCCCGAAGAATAGTTATCTTCTAGTATTTTCCTAAATGGATCACGAATACGAGAGCACCACATTTCTGGTGTTTCGTGATCATGTCTTTTTGTTAAAGGGCCTAATCTTTCAAGTATTCTTCTATAATCTTCAGAGCCTCCATGAGTATTCCATGCATCAATTAGCTTAGAATAGGCTTTACTATCTAAATCCATATTAGCGTTTTGGTAGAATAACAGAATATAACGATTTTATTGATTTTAGACGATTTTAGCAATTTCAGTATGTTATATTGATTCTTTATCAACCTATACTAGACAATATCACCATTCAAATTTATACAGATTTACTGGTTAAGAGATTTATAGCAATTTCACTGTTTTTTATCGATTTATAGTGATTTATAATGATTTATAGTGATTTATATCAGTTTATAGCAAGTATATTATAATAAAATATCAGATTCATTTTTATTTGAGACCGGAAGATTTAGCTGTGCATATACAGTATATTTACATGTGGACGATTTTCCTGACGTCATGATCGGTTAAATTAGATATATTATTTTATGACTGACGTAATCATATCACGGGATTTTTTTTCTTTCCTGGCCAATGATCAGCATGTCACGCAGTTTTTGGAATAAAAAATCATGTGACTGAAACTTCTGTCTTGTCTGAAGTCAATGCTCAAAACTAGAGATAAAGTTATCATAAAAATTTTTGAAGTGCTGTATATACGGTGTTATATATACATACAAGCTTTGTTATACATAAATTTTGCAAGCTTGGCCGTTAATAGTATTAGCGTTTTGTGCAAATGACGGAAACCTGTAGGTGATGGCGTGATACTACGGGTGATGTTGCAGACTCTCCCAACAATCGATATTAGAAAATCTTGATTAGTAATTGCCCAGTCATGTCGAATATAGCAAACATTCTCAATATACCAATACTTTATTTAATGAAATGAATGTTGCCTTCCGCAACCACAAATACAAAAATATATCGCTGTATACTAAGCGTTATCCTATTTAAGCACTTTATCGACTTCTTTATGAATATCGAACGGGTCTTGATCTTTAAGAGAAATCCAAGTCTCTTTTATTGTTTTAATGAGTTCCGCAGGATCTACCTTGGCTCTATCAGCACCCTCATTAATTAAAAAGACTATGTTATCGATGCTAGTCTCTTTGTGATTCACAACTGAAAGAGTGAATGCGAAGCATAAAGCATTTTCACATTCTGAAATAACTCCTTTGACTGCAAAGGCATACATCCAAAGCTTGATGTCTATTCTAACAATCGCATTATGCAACAGAGAGACGAATGTAAAATCTTGACTCTGTTCACCAATCGTTGAATTCCCCAAGAAAGTACTTAAGCCAGTCTTAATAATCTCCTTAAAACCTTGAACGATTTCAACTTCTTTACCTTTTGCGGGTAAAAAGTTATTAAGAATTTTATCGAGACCTTCAGAGGGCTTAAAGATGTACAAATATAACGATTAGAGTAAATAACAATAAAACAAATGACAATGATCGATGAACATGTCGCTTCTACTGTAATAGAGAAGACACTTACAGTGGATGATATATTGACCATGCTTTCGTGATAACGTCGGAGAGGGCTGTCTTTTACCACTTTGACACCCCCGCCATCACCAGAAATCGTTTTTTTGAAATCTTCTTCAAAACGATCGTTCTGAAATTTGAGGAGGAGTTGCAGAAGCTTGAGTTGCTCTAGATTTCGACGTTTTGCCTCCTCGTTGGGTGCTTTAAGATTGCTAATAACTGCGCTGATAATTTGTCCCATTATTATTTCACTTGGTTGCAGGAAGAAGGGTAGAGTTCTATGCATATAAATAATGATAAATTTTTACGCCCATTTCTAAGATTGCGTGTCCAGAACACAGTTATGTTTTCGAGAGACCATTTTGCGATAATCATTTATTAGACAATGAGTATTAGCACACATTATATTAGATATATAAAAAAAGTCGGATTATACATACAATACGGAGACTTTGAATTATTAATTATAGATGTAAGCTACCACGATTGATTTTAGATATTGTTGAAGAATGCATACCTATTGTTCAAAGGAGATTTTCGCATCTTAACTGTATATCGTATGTAGTTTGATGTATTCTATCTACGCCAAATCAGTCTGTGTACAAGAAACTTTAATTTACTTACTCAAACTCGGAAGTTTGTGATTTTCAAAGAGCGCCTAATGATTATTTATGCAGTGTGATCACAATAGACATGCATCATGAGTAGTATTGCATTATACACATAAAATAATTAAAATACGCATTCACAAATTTTAAAACCAATCAAATTCTTTATTATATTTTTTTCGTAAAATAATATGAGAAAAGGCCGGCCGGCTATGTAAAAAAAAATGAAACTAATAAAAGATATTGGAGTAGCAGGTTGTTTCAAGGGAGGAATTTTGCCGAGCCCCAACCCATATAATGGCAGTTCCTTCCCCGCTACTCCGCATTATTATTAAAACTAGCTACCCATGCGTTTATCTGATTAACAGTACTAACTGTACTGCGACCAACACCACTATAAAAAGTTTTCACTGTTGAGATTTTAATATTCCCTCCAAGACTACGAATATCCATTGCTACCGAGAAACACATCTCATCAACAGTATAATTCCTCGCCTTCATAAGTCGATCAAAGTGTTGTTTAAAGCGAATTTTAATGTCTCCAGTAATATCAAAAATTCCAGATAAATTGGAACCTTCAGATGAAGAGCTTGAACTAGTTGAAGCTGAGGCAGAGTCTAGCGAACTTCCCAGTCCAGATCCATTAGTTTCAGATTCATTGGACACGCTTTGTTGATCAAAATCGGCTCTTCGGACAACCGCATAACGTTGGGCCAAATCATTTTGAAGATTTCAATAGAAGCTTTGATTGATGTAAATTCGGACGAAATGTTTCCAAAATCATTATGGCAGGCTTCTTCGATCCTATCAAGCCTTTTGGTAACAGTACTGATCATTGAAAAGATTTTTTGCGTCTCCTTAGTGAAGTCATCATCACGTGCCTTGTTTTTTTTCGGCTTCCGCAGTAAGTTTACTATTAAGTTCGGTATTAATCTTGCCGAACCCTGCATTAACTTCTTCGTTAAGTTTATTATTAAGTTCATTATTGATTCTGTCAAGCTTCGCAGTGAAAGTAGAATTAATATCGGAAATACATGTGTCAAATTTATCGTTAAGTTCAGTAAAGATCTGGTCATGAAGTGACCTCTTTCCGATTTCCGGTAGTATACCAAGATCGATGAGAATTTTGATGACATGTGCGGAAAGTTCATTAGAGATCTTTTGTTTGAGATTTGACCACATGGTAGCGATCCCTATGAATAACACTGGACCGATGAACAAAAAAACAGCGGTTAAGGTCAAAAAAGGCATGACCCCCGAAGAGTTGAGCAATGACAAACTGGACATGATTAGGTAAATTGATGCGTAGTAATTTTATTGAGATTTTATTGGTGGATCAAGTTTTTTTAGATATTAACGCTTGATTTTTTTATAGCAATAGTTATCTTGCGTAAATGCGCTGGGAAAAGGGTTTATTTTATACTGTATGCCTACTACGCGCGAAAAGAGAATTTAACCCGATTTAATAAAAATTATGTTGCTTTATTAATTATTATGTGTATTTGTCATAACTACATTTTCATAATTATATTTTTTCAGCTAAAACAATTATAACGGCCTGGATCCCGTCTAATAACAAATGTCTCTCCATGAAGTTAACAATACGGCTTAAAAGTAAATCCGACGAATTACGGTTCTATGACAACTTAATGTAACACTAATGGAGCAATGCCGTGTCTCAAAATTTTCCGTTTACTTCTAAGATCTCTTGCAAAACAGAAGATCGCATGTGGGTATCTTTGTTTAAGTTCACAGCCTCCCAAAAAAGGAAGTTCGTTATGTAGAATAGTTATTATTACCCTACCCCTATTTCAATTGTAATCACATCATGGATCGAGATCCGTAGATGACGAATCATACATGTATTACTAATTCCTATTCAAAAACGGATTAATGTGCGATTAGCCTATACATGTAATTTGAATGCGCTAACGTTAGTAATGCTAGTAAGGTAATAAAAATCTACCGTTTATCAGCATCAAGCGCTCGAAGATCATGCCGATTTCCATATTCATTTCGTTCTATCACCATGATCTGCGTAATACAAGTCAGGGCTGATTAATTCATGTCAATAAAAATTATACCAGAATCTTCGAGTAAAAAACATACCAGAACTTTCGGGAAAGTGTATAACGAAAACAACACAAAAAAATTCTTAGCAATGACTGCCACAGTGGCGTAGTCATATCACATGTCCATATCTGTGGATGCCGGTGACGTACTACTGCGCATAGAATATTCTGCGGATGTGAACCAGTGACGTATTACTGCGGAGAAGAATAAATGACGTTTTACTGTGCACCTAAGCCATCCACGTGATTCGAAAAAAAAGAAATACATAATTCACTCAATGCGAGTAATTGATTCGCCCAATAATTCTTCTAGGCGGTTACCGGAGAGATGGTGGGACTCATTACTGACTAAGGTATGGGATCATCAAATATCATGGTTCTCGTGAACTTCCATGAGTATTTTATCATGTGTTTAGTGACGTAACATATTTTCGCCTGATGCTGGGTATTTACTACAGTGCGGAGCGACCATAGACGAGAGAAGCTAAATAACCTAAATTGAAGATAAGGTATTTTAGTATATTATCATCATGGAACAAACCTATTCTAACACTAGTGCTGGTGATAAGATTGAGGTATACGAATTCTTAGAGGCTTTGGGATTATTAGATAATGAAGTCTCGCCCGTCAACATGGATGATGATGACAATAACGAATCTGACATCGATGAAGAAGATAGTGATGATGATCAGGAAAATTATTGGAACCCTAGGAAAACATATACCGGATGGGATTATAAAAGACGTTTTGGTGAAGATGCTTTGAAAAAACTTTATCAAACCCGGGAAGCTCGTCATCGGAACATTGTACTCATGGAATTTACCAGACGTCTTCCAGACATATCTGATCGAGAAAAAAATAGATTATTCGACGCATTCTCTAGGTCTAATGCATTTGGGGTGAAAGAACATAATGCACTCTTGGATGCGTTAGCCGATCCCGTGAAAGGTTGGGATCTTAATAATTATTGAATGGATAATTCCCCCGGCAGATTATGCATGCCTGTGACGCAATTACTTATATCTGTGGATAAAGGAGATCGAACTCCTTAATTTTTTGTATCCTATTAGGAATAACGATTTTCGGTTTAAGTTCAGCTATTTCAGCATCAGATACCGAGAGCATGTTTCTAAGATTGGGATCACAGTATTCTCTTTCCTAAGCTCTGCATTCTCAGCCTCAAGTTCAGTGATACGCTGTTTCAATGATTCAAGCTCGGATGACGTGATCCCGCCTCTTCAAGTCTCTATATATAACTAATACAATGTATATAAGCATTCAAAATAAAAAACTACGTGTTTTTGGGTTGAGACTCTCAACATGAAATTTTTTATTAATACATGCAACAAAATAAATACAAATGTTGTGAACCTTTGTACACTGATACATATTATTTTTTGATAATTTTTTTGATTCTAGTCCTCTTGCTAGACGGAGAACTATCAACACTAACACGATCCTTTAGTAACCCAACAATGATGCCGATTATCCTTTTCACATTACATCGAAGTAATTCTGGATTTTCTTTAACAGCGGACTTCGTGAGATTAATTTGGTATTCGCTTCCACTCGTAGAGTATATACCATCAGGAGTATATATGATAAAATGCCACTCTGTGCCTGTAGTCACAATACCATATATATAATCAAAATAGTCGTTCCCAAAAGCTTGATCCGCAGTCCGCTTCTTCTTATTTGTCTGGAACGCACTTTCAAGCTGAGCCAGATTCTAAGAAAAATAAAATGTGTTAATATTGAATCTCTTTCAGCTTTGGCGCTCTAAAAACACAGATCTGTGTAGTAGACGCACCTGCGCATATCCAATCTTAATATTGCGTGGCTTCCCTTCGGTAATACAGAGGAGGTCTTCCAAACTTTTGATCGCATAGTCTACTCTGCCCGTTGTATCTTCACCAGAAACGTCTTTTTGCAAAACTATGAATATATCTTGAGAAGTGAGTTTCTTGGCGATGGCAATTGATGCATGTAATATAGCTGAAATAAATTCACAGCGCGTTGCCTCGTTAGCATCGGTCATGGTCTCCACATTCGAAAGTTTTAAGATAATGTCCTCCATACAGTGTTTGAATGCTTTATCATCATCACTAATCTCCTCGAAGACTACAGAGAAAAATAAAGTTAATATAGCTATCTAGTCAGCTTCGAAAAATAATTAATTACCTACCAGGAGTAAATTGCTTGATATTCGTTATATCTTCCCCATTGACCTTATTTCTACGTAACATTTCCTTCAGGTCGTCAAGAGTTTTGAGTGAGGAATAGTTTCGTAGCTTCTGGCTAAGTCCTTCGATAAAGTTTACAAGTCTTGTTGCTGGGCCTCCTTTCATGCCATAGCGTTCAAGTTTTTCTTCAGTTAACTTAAGAAAATCAAGACCAGCAATTTCTTCCTTTCGTAAAATTTTAAAGTGAGGCTCCTTAAGCTTCAAGTCTTTCTTTTTCAAATATTCAATAAGCTCCTCTGTATCGAAATCCTTAACCACGTCTGACATTGTTTTAGTAGAAATTTCTTCCGTTATTGAGGCGGGTGAAGCGGGCGAAGAAGCTTGTGAAGACATGGTTTTTATATATGTGAGTTTGTGCTTGCGAAAAAAATATGCACTCGACTGCAGTTACAGGTAAAGCTGGTTTATGGATATAAAAGTATTTTTGGTTTCCGGTGTAAAAGCGCTCGGGTAGAAATGATAGATTTTTTTGTATCGATTCATAATGTATTTACCCAATATATATGCAATTAAGATGTAGTACAGAATTGTCAGGCGATTATATTACATCATTACACGTGACATTTTTTCAAGATTTACGACAAGAACAGATCCTGAAAGGACCACGTAAATAATATTTTATTTATGAAATAAAAAAACGTTGCCGGTAGCCGGCCTACAATACATAAAAACTATTACATAGCATTATATATAAGATTATTCTGACCGGGGGTATACAGTGATATGGAAGTGCTCTGCTTTAGTCTCCTCATCAAAACTAAAAATTTCAGAAAACTGATCGTACAGCTCCATTTCCCTTTCAATAACACTTCCAGCTTGAATTATACAAAATTTGAGAGGGATTTTATTAAATGGTGCCCCCAATCTGCTTTGAATTTCAGCCTCGAGTTTGCTAGAACCTTCATGTTTGCGAACCATAATTGATTGTATTACTTTAATGCCTGGAATATTCATAAGTTTTCCTATAGGAACGATAAGACAATTGAGAATGATGGTGTCGTAGCTCATTTTGATCCCTAAATACAAGACCCATGGTGAGAAAAACTCATTCCCATACATACATAACTTCTGGCATATACATACCTTATTTTGTGTTATTTTCTCTGGGAAAGTTTTTTGCGGAAATTTGGCTGAACTTCCACATACCTCTACATGCTTTATATCTTGCTGGGAAAAAGTTAAGGAGATATGAGGCGTAATTAGTATTGTTGTCTGATGCCAAGAGTTCTATGAAAGCACATGCAAATGGAATTCTCATACCTTTTCACATGTAGATCTACCGGAGAGACGCAAAGGTAGTTAGTTCTTGTAGATCTCAAAATTGTGAGTCCCTCAGCCCTCCATAACATATGCTTTTGACGTTAATATTTACTTTTAGAGCTGGTCCTGTGTTGCTTGTAGACATTCTTTCACATTTTCTCATGATTGTTTGGGAAAAAAATAGAGGTATTAGTTAGTATATATAACTTTCGATATATGTGAAAAAAAAATAATGTTTCACAGACTGACCGTGTGATCGGCCATTACATCATTGCACAGAAATCTATGGTTCAGCAAATTCTTCCGAGCTGGTAGATCACTGCTCCGGATTAGTTAGATCGGTAGAGTACCACCATTCCGTAGAGGGCTGTGTTAATTCCTAACTAAGAAACATGGAAATAATATTCTGAGCACCACCAGCCTGTCTAAGATAATCATTAAATGCAGTAATAAAATCATTCGGAGTTTCAGCCGTGCCCATAATCATCGGAGGAGGTACATCATTATCATAGGCAACTTCATCATCTGATTCAGAGCTAGATGGTTCGGACTCTGATTCGGCTTCGGAGCCAGAAGATTCTGAATCAGAACAGCAGTATTCTTCATCAAAATTTTCGATATGAATATTTGGATTTAGCTGGTCCATGGCTTCTTTGCTGATATTTCTACACCCCTCCAAATCAAGAAATTTTAAATTGGGGCGTGAACGAGCAATTTCTTTGATAGTCGTACTGGTAATATTGCAATATCCAAAGCTGAGATGCTGAATCTTCTGGCAGGAGCGAATAACATTGCAGATTGATAATTCACTAATAAATGTACAACCACTTAGATCAAGATATTCTAATTTATGGCAAGAATGGGCCAGTGCTTCAGTAACCTCATCACCAATATCATTATGACCGATCTCTAAATGTCTTAAATTCGGAGATCCTCTGATGATAGCCACAATTAATGCATCATTACGGAAAGCCATGACACCAGCAAAGTCAAGATATTCTATGCTGAGACATCTCTGTATTAACATACTAGCATCTTTGACATCCCCCTTACTATATGAAATATCAAGATTTCGTAAATTTGGGCATGAGTTTAAGATGCAACTTATAGATTTATCTGTGATCCGACGTGCTTCAGCAAAATGGAACTCTTGTAAATCATGACAATTATCTGCAATTACAAACAAAGATTTATCGGTAATATTTCTGCAGTAGGAAATATTTAGATGTTCTAATTTATGACATGATCCTGCGAGTGCACATAAGCCTTTATCGGTTATTGCTTCAGCATCCCACAAATTGAGATATCTTAAATTAGAATATGATTCCGCTATTATAAATAGTGATCTATCACCAAAACCTATACTTTCTTTGAAATTTAAATGAATTATATTCGGAAATGTATTCACAATACTTTTTATTTTTTTATCTGAAAGTCGATAGTAATTTGAAATTTCTAGATAGGTTACATTTGAGGCATAAGCTGGTTTATTCTTTCCGCACATTATTTTTACAAATTTTTCCAATCGAAAATGATTATTCACATTATAGCCATACCTCCGGTTATTCCCCTTTAGCTCAATACGCCTCCATAGGATAGGGGCACCACATCTGTACCAAAGCCAGCTAACAAATAGAGCAGGGTATAGAGATTTATCTATCAATAAGAAATGTAAAATCTGCTCTAGTAATTCCTGTATATTAAAAATGCCTGTATGCGCCATAAATAACATATGTTATATCTTTAATCGAAAAAATAAATTAGCCGAGCCTAGTTCGCTGGTAGATCACTGCTCCGGACTAAGCCTTTCCACTATGTCATCTAACGCAAGTGCTTGTAACCCATCCAAACGAACTTTTAATATATCTTCAGGTGATAATCCTCTGAAGAATAGATTTTTAAGAAGCCATTCTGGATAGTCTTTGCTTAAATTACACTCTTTCAGTTTCGAATAATATTCCTTTACTGTATAATTGCCTTGAACTATTCTCCCAAATAAAAAATTCATTCTTTTGGACCATTCAAGATTAACCTCTCTTTCCCATATATTATTTATACTGCGGGCATTTTTAGATCCCGTTCTGGGAGATACTTTGAAATGGATGGTATTAGTTCAGGCGGAAGTTGTTCTAGCAAATTAACTGTATACATTTATATACGGTTAGAATATCTTTCGATCGAAAAAAAAGTGAAATACAATATTGGAAAGCTTTCATCCTAATTGAAGGGTCTTAACCTTCTTTGGTTGCACCCTTCTTCGTTGCTTATGAGGGACAGCCTTTTTTTCTCTTACCTCAATTATCTCAACCGAATCGGAATCTTTGGAAGACTCAGATGAATAGGAGAAACCTTTATGCACAGCGCCTTTCGGCCCTTTTTTACCAATCAGCAAGGGAACTATTTCATGTATCAAGTTGACCACAGTCTCACTATCTACACATTCATCCAAATCCTCTAATTCAGTCTCTAAGAACTTTACATTCCTCTCTAATCTTTTTACCCTCTTTTCTAAAGTGTTGTATTGGGAATGATAGTCTTACAATTGTTTCTTTAATGCCTTATTTTCATTGGAAAGCGCACTATATACTTCTGCATTTTGCTCGTTTAGTCCAAATGCCTGGGCTAATATTTTCGTATATCTAATAACTTCCTGCTCGCTAGCTATACTATCGGATGAATGCTTTTGATTGGCTATCATTTTCGTGATGTATTCTATATGCTAGTTCTTGTCTTGAACGAAAAAAAAATAAAATTACGCACAATGATATCCCAACTCAATCCCTCTGGGATCCCTCTAACCCTTATATGTGAATAATGTGATTAGTTTTCATCGAAGAACATGAATGGGTTTGCTTGATCGTAAGGCATTCCACGAGGTCTGTAATTTACTATAGTATACCTCTGCGATGGCGCAGTGTTATTTTTAGGACTATGTCGAAGTGCTTGACTAGCAATAGTATTAGCTTTCGATAGATTCCTAACCCCACTCGCTACAACCGCAAATACAGCTCCTAAATTACGTAAGGAACTAGGAAGTAATGGCTTACCAGTTTCGGGAAGAAATTCAGCTTTTTTCAGAAACCTACTCAAGATTCCAGTTCCAGGCGTCCCCGGGTCTCCTAACCGTCCGGAAGATATTGCTTCCTGAATCCATGTAAGCAATTGCTTTGCCCGTTTCTCGTTCTTTTCAAGTGATCTAAACACTCGAGGAATATCCTGTTGATCTCGGTTTTTTACATATCCTGTTACACCTCCATTGGATATACGCAAATCTTTAATTTCAGCTGGACGGATACAGAGCATAATCATTACATCAGCTAGGGCCTGTTTGTCGGGTGTATTAGATACATCATACGAATCCAATCTCTCCTTAACCGATTCTAACGAGAAGTGGTCCGGATAATGAATTCCTTCATCTTCGCATAATAAACTCTTCTCCTTTTGGATTTTATTCGATAAAGTGGTCATCCCTGGAATCTTCGTAGCTTCGATTATTGCCTTTGGGGCATTAAGCTTCCGCAATTCCTTTCGGAGCCTACTGAGACTAGACGTGCAGGCAACCGGATTAGGGGATGTCTCGGCTAATGCTTTAGCTATAAGTTTTACTTCTTTTTCACCAAGGCTATCCTGCATAATACGCTGAGCCGTTTCTCTAATAATTTCTCCTTCTGGGATAATATCTGATACTTGGCAGGCGCTTTTAGCACAGCATATATTCACTTCCGCTTCTGCCCCTCCTTCTTTGGGGGTTACTTGACTTTTAGTTCGACCAGTTCTTTGAGAAGGTATCAACGCAAATGCTTGTTCTTTACTAAAGTTATATCCTTTTTGAAGACGATCGCGAGCCTGACGCCTTTTCTCTCTATCACCTGGTAAGAGCTCAAGTATTTCTGGCGCATACCGGCTAAGCTCTTCGAGACTCATTTCATTGGTGAGTTCATGGTCTGTAACGAACTTGGTTGTAATAGCAGACATATTGTGGTAAGTAGACTATGGTGGTAGTTAGATTAATCTGTGGTATTCAGATTATATATTGTGGGAAAAAGTTCAATTCGAAAAAAATATTCCGTAATTTCACTACCCCATGGTCGGTAAAAACTATCGAAGGGTTAGAGAAAGGGAAAAAATATATAACTTATGGGAGGTCTCTTTGAGCCACCTGCTCCGGCCGGGATATCTTTTATATATATTTGAAAATTGTAGGTAGATAGGATATGCGAAAAAATATATATAGTCAAGGAACTGCCATTCCAAGACTATAAACAAATCCATCTGTATCTAATAACATTTTAATATAATGCTCGCGCTAGAGCTAATATTCCTTCCGGTCCTAAAGCATTTGTCTTAGTGAACGCATCATATAAAGCACTTGGTCTATGCTTCGAAGGAGCTAAATTCAGATGATGGAGGAATTTCATGAGTACCTTATTTCTCCAAGCTTTCGTCTCTTCACACTCCCAGCATAATTTTAATAGTTGGCATAAAGTGAAATTGTGCCAATTAGCTTTGAGTAAAATCTGCAATAGACATATTTTTTTGTTAACTTCTGCTAGTAAACTTCTTTCTGATACGATACCCCAAATACGATAGGAGATGAAAGAGAGATATCTTCTTAATATTGGTAATTCATGCAAAGGCGGGATCAAAAGCCTTTCTTCTTTCCAATGTATATAGCCACCACATAATAATTTACGATACACTGGTCCATTTACAACTATCATGCGATTAGATTTGGGGTTATATATTTTTTCGTGGGCTTCATATGCCGATTGGTCTAATATGTCCATAACGTAAGTACGAAAAGATATTTTATCTCATTATAATACCAATTAATTTAAATACATATTTTATTATGAAATTAAAAATGAAAGAGGGTTTTATATCCTAAAATACTTTTGCTTTAGCGTCTTTGACCATGGCTCGCTTTACTTGCGCACATATTAAGAAGGATAACACTATTTGTGGAAATAAGTGCTGTGACCCCACCGGGTGTTATAGGCACTGGAAATTGTATGAAAAAAATAAAGAAAAAAAACCCTGCCTTGTTAGTGATTGTCGTAAATATACTGTTTCTACTACGGGATGTTGTCCTGATCATTCGGGTAGATTTCATTCGCTAAATTATCGGATGAGGCAGAAGTATGGGGCTGAGGCCCTTCAACCCAAAATCCCTGAAGCTCCAATTTCCGAGTCAGATGATAATAGTACTTCGATCCATGAACACTTGTTTCCTACTTCTTCACAATTATTTGCAGATTCGTTAGGAAGAGATTTAACGGATTCGATCTGGATCGAAATACTAGGTGATAAGGTTATAATTAAAGGCTCAGCTACAGAGTCACCCAGAATCTATGAAGATCCAGTTTCTGAGTCGGATGATGAGGATACAGGTCTCGACCTCTTTGGGGATTAGTGGTTAGCTCGAAAATAGGAGCACTAGAGATCCCCTCTGAGTTATCTGCTGGAAAGTAAGCAAAAAAAAATATTATTTCATTTATATCATTAAGTCGAATAGCGCTATTTTTTAGTATATAAATAAAGCGCATCAGGCATATTTCTTGGAATGGGGCTTCTTCGGAAATATTATATAAAATAATGGAAGAAGCCCCCATCTCAAAGTATGTATGATTCGATTCTGTGAAACTTGGCATTATGTTCACACTGCTTTTATAACAGTCCGCCTACGCAATATCAAATAAGTCTTGAATATCTTTCGCAATTAGTATTAGAACTGGGAGTATCTTTGATTTGTTTTTCCTCCAAAAGATTTTCCATTAATAATTCATCGGGTGGAAGTTTACTATATCCATACCGAGTATCTTCACCATTTTCCCAATAAATTTCTTTCCCTGTTTGGTATGGTGGTAACTCAGGAGAGTCATTATTATCGAATGATCCAACTAGATGGTAATGTCTGCTATGTTTATCCATAGCCTTAAATTTTAACCCATAAGTTGCGTGTAGTGCCGAATTTAGCAAACCAAGTTTCGCTCGAATTGTTTTTAATCCCGATTTTTTAGCACTACGCGATGCATCTGTATTATCAAATACTCGAGCCATTTTAGGTACTAAATCCTGGAGATATGATATCGACTCAGGGGATTCCATGCGTGTTTTAACATCATTAGCTTTATAACGTGTCCTATCGTCAATGTCTTTAACGGGTGTGCAATTTCTTAGTAATTCCAGACAAATTCGATGTTTCTCAGCCCGGGTTATAGTTGTAAGCCTATCTTCTCTGTAATCTTTGCGTGTGATGGCCTCAACAGCCGTTTCGTTGTCAGTACCAGCATCTCGTAACTGCCTATAAGCTCTGAACCATCTCATATGATTATAATCCCCATACTTCGAAATGAAATTTTCGGTCAATAATTCAGGCGGGATTTCATAACATTCCACAATATGATGCCGGTCTAGAGAACGCATTTCTTCTAAGGTCTTCTTCTGCTTGTTCTCCAAAAATTCAGCAGTCTCACGATCGAGAATATAAGCATTAGTTATATCTGATATTTCCTCCGCTTTAACAATAGAGCATTTCGCTTTTACCACTTGCAATAATGTTTTTTCTCCAGATTTAGGACCAGAGTCTATGATCGAAACACACATGCCAGCTTTTCGAAGGAAATCAACCATCCTCCAGCCAAATAATCGCTGGGAACGAAATTTTTCTAACATATATGCTACCCACAATCGAACAGTTGGTACGTCTTTATTCCGGATAATAGAATCTACATCTGGGAATATTCCTCTATTCTGAAGTTCGCGGGGGAGACATTCGCGTTTAGCACTTAACATCCATTGAAATAACCCTTTTTCTAAAATGGGAACGTTAGATGATCTTTGCTCGATATGACATACATAATCCTTAATGCACCGCATGCGGAATAACATCTGATTCGTTCCAGCATTAGTTTCTATATAGCTATTGAAGAGACAGAATGCTCGTTCAAACTTAGGGTTAGTGCAAGATACTCCTATTTTTAAAGTGCTAGTATAGGCAACTAGGTCTACGTATTTCCACGATTCTTCTACATTGCTAAAGTCATGTGCCTTTTCCTCAGGATCAGATTTACCATGATATTCCTTAATTCGCAATTCTGGAAAATCGGTCTTAAGGGCGCGAATAATTCCTTGTATGTCTTTTCTAAGATGGCAAATAAGCGACGCACTTGTTCGGCTTTCAAAAGGTAATGAAGCCATATGCTTAGCCCAGTCCCAAAGTTCGGCTAATACTGTTTCTTTATTAGGGGCAAGGCGGAATGTCTTACCTTTTTGGGGTTGGAAAGTGTTGTGGATAATAGAGAGTGATTTATCCTTACGAAGGGCTTTAATCCATTCGATATTAAGATCGGTGAGATCATTATCCATGACGATAATGCGTCTTGCGTCTTGGACCAATTTATATAACTTTTCTATCGATTGTCCGGCCAAATGACTCTGCGCCTGAGCAATTATAGACACTATTTCATCAAGCCATAAATCGTATTGACTCGGGGGACATTTGCATTTTTTATTACATTTGCATTTATTAGCAATACGGTGTAAACTCTCTATTTGACATACTACCCTCTTATGATCGGGGAGATTTATATTACCATCAATATCGCAATATGATTTGAGGTCAAGTCTTGTAGTGACAGCATTAGAATAAGAATGTCGCGTGGATAATACAAGCAAATTTACATCGTCAGGAATAGACAAATTTTCAAGAATATATGTTTTTCCCGTTTCCCAAGGCGACCCCACATAAATATCACCTTCATTGGATAATGGCCTTACATATCTCTCCTCATACGTTTCTGTTGCTGTAAGGGGCTCATTATATTTGACCCAAGATGGCATTTTTACGAAGGCTTTAGGGAAACCTGGGTCTTTTACCTTGCAAGATGTGGGTGATAAATTTTTATTTTCTTGCTGGATTTTTTCTGCAATAGATGGGTCGCATTCAAAAACTTCCCCAGGTTCATCAGTACCTTGCCGGAAGCATTTTACAATGAATGTTCCATTGCTGGCATATACACGACCGAACCACCGCTGATCCTTGTCATGTATACGTTTACATAGTGGACATTCTAGTGGACCTTTCCGGTTGAAATATACGAAGTTTTCCGAGTCTTTTTCTTCGATAGTCCAATCCTTAAGATAGTTAGAATGCTTTTGCAAAACAAGATTCGCGCATTTTTGCAATACATCCTGACCCACGATTATTCTTAGTGGATTATTATTTTTTTCTTCACTAAGCATCCGAGGTCTTACTTCAAGTCCCAAACTAGAAGGCGGTTGAACCCTAACGTGATCGAGTTCATTCCAGCCATTGTCTAGAGAGAATTGGAGAATGCGCTTCACCCGACCTTTTTTTGCTGATCCGATTAGGCGAAGGTTGAAATTCTGACCAGGCAACCCTCTGTCGATATACTTGCCAAATTTTTCACCGGTTATGGTATATACTAATTCTGTAAACGCTTTGAGTTCATGATGATCAATAAGGAGAGCTGGTGCATATAAAATATGATAACTACATTTGCTAGGATCTGTTGATGTAGTAACTATTAACCCTTTAAGAATATCCTCCCAGCTACAATCAAGAATTCGATACAAAGCTCTTATGAAAGATAGGCAGATTCGAAAGAATACTTCTTGCGCCTTAACTCTAGCTGTTTCCATATCTTCTTTTGATGCATCGATATCAATCACAGCTCTTAAAGGCTTTTGACCATTAATACATTCGTGAATCCCGGGCAGACCATATACTTCAGAAATGTCGTCTGCAACGGAAAATTTTGGGGCTCGATCGTCTTGGTCAATTTTGATAACCAATTTATCTTCCACTTCATCCCGGTCATAAGCATTATATAAACTAGACCCTTTTTCATTCGGAAA